ACAAGGAGGCTTTAGGAAAGGTAGAGGGTGTGTAGACTAAGTGTTTACAGTGAAAAATATAGGTGAACAATATTTAGATAAGGGTAAAGAGGTTTTTGTGGCATTTATGGATTTAGAAAAGTGGATAGGGGGGCAGTGTAGCAGATGTTGCAGGTGTATGGTATAGGAGGTAGGTTACTGAAAACAGTGAAGAGTTTTTACGAGGATAGTGAGGGTCAGGTTAGAGTATGTAGGAGAGAGGGAGATTATTTCCCAGTAAAAGTAGGCCTTAGACAAGGATGTGTGATGTCACTGTGGTTGTTCAATACATTTATAGATGGGGTTGTAAGAGAAGTGAATGCTAGGGTCTTGGTAAGAGGTGTAGAGTTAAAAGATAAAGAATCAAACACAGAGTGGGAGTTGTCACAGTTGCTCTTTGCTGATGACACGGTGCTTTTGGGAGATTCTGAAGAGAAGTTGCAGAGGTTGGTGGATGAATTTGGTAGGGTATGTAAAAGAAGAAAATTGAAAGTGAATATAGGAAAGTAAGGTTATGAGGATAAAAAGATTAGGTGATGAAAGACTGGATATCAGATTGGAGAGAGAGAGTATAGAGGAGGTGAATGTATTCAGATATTTAGGAGTGGACGTGTCAGCAGATGGGTCTATGAAGGTTGAGGTGAATCACAGAATTGATGAGAGGAAAAGGGTGAGTGGTGCACTTAGGAGTCTGTGGAGACAAAGAACTTCGTCCGTGCTAGCAAAAAGGGGAATGTATGAGAGTATAGTTGTACCAACACTTTTGTATGGGTGTGAAGCATGGGTGATGAATGTTGCAGTGAGGAGAAGGCTGGAGGCAGTGGAGATGTCATGTCTGAGGGCAATGTGTTGTGTGAATATAATGCAGAGAATTTATAGTTCAGAAATTAGGAGGTGTGGGATTACCAAAACTGTTGTCCAGAGGGCTGAGGAGGGGTTGTTGAGGTGGTTCGGACATGTAGAGAGAATGGAACAAAACAGAATGACTTCGAGAGTGTATAAATCTGTAGTGGAAGGAAGGTGGGGTAGGGGTCAGCCCAGGAAGGGTTGGAGGGAGGGGGTAAAGGAGGTTTTGTGTGCGAGGGGCTTGGACTTTCAGCAATCGTGCATAAGTGTATTTCATAGGAGTGAATGGAGACAAATGGTTTTTAATACTTGATGTGCTGTTGGAGTGTGAGCAAAGTAACATTTATGAAGGGATTCAGGGAAACCAGCAGGCTGGACTTGAGTCCTGGAGATGGGAAGTACAGTGTCTACACTCTGAAGGAGGGGTGTTAGCCCTTTCAGGGTTTCGGCCGTACTAGTACGGCTTACGCCCCAGGGTTTTTGACGTACTAGTACGCCTAAATTCTAGCGCCCTCAAATCTAGTGAGAGAGAGCTGGTAGGCCTACATATGAAAGAATGGGTCTATGTGGTCAGTGTGCGCAGTATAAAAAAAATCCTGCAGAACACAGTGCGTAATGAGAGAAAAAAAAAACTGACGGTGTTTTTGGATTAAAACAGCGACTTTGCACTGTATTTTCGTATGGTATTTATTGTTGTATTCTAGTTTTCCTGGTCTCATTTTATAGAATGGAAGACATTTTACAGAAATGGAGATGATTTTTGACTGGTTTTACAATGAAAAGTACCTTGAAATTGAGCTCAAATAGCAGAAATGTTCGATTTTTACCAAAGTTCAAAAGTAAACAAATCATGCCAAGCGTCCAATACACGTCAACTGGTGAGTCTAATATTCTTTCACAAGTGCTCTGATATTATTTATACCATTTCTACGCTAATGCAGTAGTCTGCATAACAGTAAATCTTCTATTTTTTGTAAGAATAAAAATTCAAAGTGGAAAGCCAAAGAAATATAAGAGGGGCCTGGGGATGTGACTAATGAACAGAGAACTTGTTATTTTAGTGCCAGGAATGTCTTGTTTATTCTGGACCCTATTCGGAAATTGGCATCTTTTGAAATTTGTGTGAAATTGGCAAAATTGCTAAATTCTGACCACTTTATTGGATAGTTGATATCAGTAAATGGGGGGTTTCTTGTACTCATTCGATAGAAAAAATGGAGTTGTAGTGAAATAGTTATGATTTTTGTCGACTAGTACACTGGAATTGGCTGAAAATAGGGCTCAAAGTGGGCAAAATCGCCGATGCGTAAACATTGTCGAGACTGCTAACTTCACGAGAGCATAATTCCGTAAGTTTTCCATCAAATTTCATACTTTTGGTGTCATTGTGATCGGGAAAAGATTCTCTATCTTTTCATAAGAAAAAAATAATTTTTTTTTTATTTGGGGACCCTGAGAACAAGTCTCGGAGAGGGCCTGGGGACCCTGAAAGGGTTAATGTTGCAGTTTTATAACTATAGTGTAAAGCGCCCTTCTGGCAAGACAGTGATGGAGTGAATGATGATGAAAGCTTTTCTTTTTCGGGCCACCCTGCCTTGGTGGGAATCGGCCGATATGTTAATAAAAATAAATAAAATTATTTATTTTTTATATTTGCTCGTTTATATGTAATATAAACTTATGCCTACTTTTATATGTTGGTTTTAGTTTAGATGCCAGTACAGTTAACGCTCCATTTTCGTCGATCTCCGTTACCACTGATTTCGGTTTTGGCTGACTTTTTTTCGTTGATTACCTCCATTTTTATCGATCGTACAGAACCTGTCCATTGCCCAGCGTGCAGACAAAGCCGCCTCCCACATGCATTCTCAGCCAGTGTTCGTTGTTTCTTGGTGAGTGAACATGTCCTGCCAGGTCATACGGAACATTTCATAATAATCCATTGTTTTTGCCACTTGTTTATTGTGTGTGACTGCTAAATAAGCGACCATGGCCCCCAAAGAAAGCTCCTAGTGCCAGTACTTTGGTAAAGAAAGTGAGGAACATCATAAAACTGAAAAAAGAAATCCTAAGAAAATATGATAGTGGCATACGCATTGCTGAACTCAGCAGGATGTACAGGAAGTCACCATCAACAATCTGCCCCATTGTGGCAAAGAGAAAAGAAATCGTGGAGGCTGATGTTGCGAAAGGGGTGAATGCGATAACGAAACAGAGATCCCAAACAGTTGAAGAAGTGGAGAAATTGTTGTTGGTGTGGATCAGAGAGAGAGTTAGCAGGGGATAGTGTTGTGTGGTCTATAATTTGTGAAAAGGCAACTCAGTTGCATGACAATCTCATAAAGAAACTGCCTGAAATAAGTGCTGATGTAGGTGAATTTAGGGTCAGCAAAGGCTGGTTCGAAAAATTCAAGAAGCGAAGTGGCATACACAGTGTTGTAAGGCATGGTGAGGGTGCCAGTTCAGACAAACAAGTGGCTGAAAAATTCATGCAGGAATTCAAATGTTATGTAGAGGCTGAAAAATTCCAACCCCAACAAGTGTTCAGTTGTGATGAAACAGGCCTGTTTTGGAAGAAAATGCCAAAGAGGACCTACATTATGCAGGAGGAAAAGGCACTCCCAGGACAAGCCTATGAAAAACAGGCTAACTCTTGTTGTGTGGTAATGCTAGTGGGGATTTAAAAGTGAAGCCTTTACTGGTGTATCACTTTGAAAATCCTCGAGTGTTCAAGAAAAACAGTGTTGTCAAGAGTAAATTGTGTGTGATGTGGAAGGCTAACAGTAGGGCATGGGTCACTTGGGAAATTTTCCTGGAATGGTTCAGTGAAGTGTTTGGCCCAAGTGTGAAGAAATGCCTCCTGGATAATAAATTGCCACTCCAGTGCCTCCTGTTAATGGACAGTGCTCCTGTTCATCCTCTAGACTTGGAAGACCAATTGTCTAAGCAGTTCAGTTTTGTAACAGTGAAGTTCTTGCCTCCTAAAACCACTTCTCTCCTCCAGCCCATGGAGCAGCAGATCATTGCAAACTTCAAAAAACTGTACACCAAAGCAATGTTTCAAAGGTGCTTTGACATAACCTCGGACTCTGAATTGACCCTAAGAGAGTTCTGGAAGAATCACTTCAATGTCTTCCACAGCATAGGCCTTATAGATAAGGCTTGGCAGGGAGTGACTTCCAGGACGATGAACTCTGCTTGGGGAAAATTGTGGCCAGGTTGTGTCCAAAAGAAGGATTTTGAAGGGTTTGAGGCTGACCCTGTCGACCCTACACCTGTTGTGCAATCAATTGTGGCATTGGGGAATTCCATGGGGTTGGATGTGAGTGGCGATGATGTGGAAGAGTTGGTGGAGGACCACAATGAAGAGCTAACCACTGATGAGCTGCAAGAGCTTCATCTGCAACAGCAACAAACCACAGCTGAGGAAATTGCTTCAGAGGAGGAGGAAGAGAGATGGAAGAAGGTGCCTCCTTCAAAGATTAAGGAGATTTGTGCAATGTGGACTGAAGTGCATTCATTTGTGGAGGAACATCACCCTGAGAAAGTTGTTGCAATCCATGCTGGTGACTTTTACAATGACAGTGCCATGTCCCATTTTAGGCAAATCTTAGAGACTCCAGAAACAGAGCACTCTGGACAAATATTTTGTGCGACAGGGGTCCAGTGACTCTCGAGGTGGTCCTAGTGGCATTAAAAAACAAAGGAGGGAAGTGACCCTGGATAAGGACTTGGTACCTGGAGTCCTTATGGAGGGGGATTTCCCTTCCAAAGAATAACCTCTCTTTCCTCTCCCCTCCTCCCTGTCTTCCTTCCAGCAACAACAGCTTTCAATAAAGGTAAGTGTCATGTGCAATTTTCAATTTTTTTGTGCATGTAACTATCTTTAAAGTAAAAAAAAATTTTTTATTGATACTTCTGGGTGTCTGGAACGGATTAATTCCATTTACGTGTACATTATTTTTTATGGGGAAAATGGTTTCGGTTTTGGTTGATGGCTCTCGAACGAATTAAATATGAAAACCGAGGGTCCGCTGTATTTTGTATGTAACTTGCAGTTACTGTATTGTAAAAATGGTATTTCATATAATACATGATGAGTAGTTTTTAAAAGATAATTATAAATTTTGTTGCAGGATCATCCATGTGACCATCCTATTATTATATTAGATGGATTAGGATGGAGGGAGGTGGTGGCATTACTGCATTTTATGTATTGTGGAGAGGTGGTCGTGGAGGAGGATCACCTTCCAAACCTCTTGAATGCTGCCTCAAATCTCAATGTCACTGGATTAACACATGTCACCTCTGCCCTAGCCAGCACCCAGGTATGGTATAGTAAGTTTAGCTTTCTGTTCATTTCTTGTGGTGTATATTGATATTGTATACAGAACAGTTTTCATTACAAAGTAATTGTTTCCATCTCATTTTTTCTGCCTTTTTTTAAGTAAGTACATGTGTCCTTCATTTTGTGATGGATGTAGTTTCTGGTTCATGATGTGTAAAGCTGACCAAACATAACATGTAAAACAAGGATTCTTTCTAAACTTTTTCAAATTCCACATTTCTTACTAATTTTTACTAAAACTAGTTTACTACACATTCACCAAAAGTTTTATACAAAAAAGTAATTGAATTTGGTAAAAAAAAAAATTGAATCGTAAACCTAGTACAAGATTGGGGGTAGATCCATGTTTCTTTACTTACTTACTTTGGCGGCCCAGTCCCTGGACCCATTACGTACCTCTGTAATCTGTAAATACCTTTGTAACTTGTCATGATTGTGACCAGACTTACCTGGAGTTCATTACCTTTGTAAATTGTGAGTTCATTACCTTTGTAACTTAGCTCAGCTATCCAAACTTTGAGGCCCAGTCCCTGGACCCATTATGTACCTCTGTAATCTTTTGACTACCACCCACAGGATGGGTATGGGGTGCATAATAAAGATATTAAACTAACATTTACAAAAATGAAAGTAATGAGGATACCAGATAGGCACCCAAAAGCCATATACAGTACATGTATCTTGAGAATGCTTCTCTATATTGAAAACTGGGATGTCTGGGCCCCTTATAGTAGTTTTAGGATCAAATTTTTATTTATTTTTAATCTTTGTAAATTACTGGGGGCATTTAAAATAGGTTTAAAACAAAACTTGCAAACACGTTATTTATTGAGCTAATAAACTAGTCAGGAAAAAATTTAAAAGATCAGAATTTTTTGGACATTAACTATTTTTTCTTTTAAAAACCCTTTTTGGATCCCCATTTCCCCCCTCAACTCTTGAAAGCTTTTTTTTTTTAATAAATAAAAGAAACTGACGGTAAAACGATTAAGACATTTTTAAACTTTATTGCAAAACATTTTGCCTTTTTAACTTTTTCCCGTTAAAATGAGAGGGGGATTTAATTTCGGGAGAAAACCCAAAAGTATGGAAAAAATTTTGATTTTTTCCCAAGGGGCTGGGGTACTAATCACCTCATATCTCCCCTGAAACCCAATTTAATTTTTTTTTCCAGTTTAAAGTCAAAAACTATTTTGAAAAAACTCCGGGAACAGGTAAAAGTCCCCCATCAGTAAAGTTTTGACTTTTGCACATGAAATCCCCACTTGCAGGTTCATTAAACTGGGTCTTTTTTTTTTTCGTTTGCAATTCACGGGGGTCTGTTGAAAATGGGATAGTTTTTAAAGGTACTTTTTTAAAATTTTTTGTTTAAAGGTTTGTTTGTCTTTTAAGGTTTCCCAGTCTGCCAAGACACTAAAAAAAAAAGGGAAACTGTACGGGTACTGAAAACATTTGAGAAATAAAAAATATTTGGAGCCAAAAACCCATTGAAACTTTTTTTTTTTAACCCTCTAAAATTCCTTTTTCGGCAAGTAATATTTCAATGGGTTGGTAAGAAGTTTAAAAGTAATGATGAAGACTTTGATGGGGAAAGAGGAGGAAGAAAAAGATAAAAAAACTTCTGAAAATCAGAATCAAAGAAAAAAGTGGAAATTTGAAGGTGTTTCCTCATACACAGGAGGGTTTCCCCCCTTCCAAGAGACAGCGCACAGATTTCCCCAGACTTTAAACAAGGAAATAAATGATAAAAGTGATCCTGTGAAGAACCTTTAACTGAAAAAACAGAGGATAAATTTTTCGCTTTAAAAATTTTGCAGTAATGCTTCTTTTCCCAGTTACCATTTTTGTTCATCCCCAAATTAAAGAATTTCATGAAAGTCACCCCTTTGAAATTTTACCCCCCATAAAAGGACACAAGGTGACGGGGATGTTTTTTTTTCATCCTGTTTTTTATAAAATTTAAACTGCAAATTAGTTGGCATTAGTTTTTTTAAAATTTTTAAAGAGAATTTTTTCATTTTAATAGAAGCGAAAACCCCTTTTTTTTGGCTGTTTTTTTAGGATCTTTTTGATACAATAAAAAGATAACTACTGAAAAAAAGAGTTTGATTTTTGCTTAGTTTCGGGACCGAATAAATTTAAAATTGGGGCCATAGGGGGCGGGAAAAAATTCTTTTTTTGGGATGTTTTTCCCTGGGATGGGTAAGGCCCCACCATCCTCCACCCCCTGGTCTTTTTGGGGGGTTTTTTTAACTTCAATATTTTGGAATCCTTAAACCATGACCAATCTTTCCTGGTTATATTTTATTATCCAAAAATGTAGAAATGGGAGAGATTTTGGATGACATAACAAGGGGAAAAATGTTAATTTATTGGCTAGAATCCCTACACGTTTTTTTAGATTTTTTAAAAATATAAAATTTTTTTTGCATGTTGTTAAAATTTAGCCAAATTAGAAATTTTCCTGTGCACTTTTTTGGAAAATGTTCTGGTAGTTGAAGGGGGTGATTTCTTGTGTTCAATGATAAAATAAAAGGGAAATTACTAACAAAATAGCTAAAAAATTTGGCCAGTTGAGCAGGGGAATTACCCTTAAAATAGGACCGGGAAACGAAATCGTTTTTGCAAAAAATTTTTGGTTTGGGGACTTCGAATTTTTTTTGCATAATTCCATAATTTTTTCCATCACTTTTGTTTTTTTTGATCCCAAATTTCCCTCCAAAAAAATAAAACCCTAACCTTTCCCAAAGTTTTTTTTTTTTTTTTAAATCACGACATTGTCATCATTTAAATTTTGGGGGATCCCAACAGTAAAGGGGGTTAAGGGGCCCATGGCTATTTAAAAATTTTTAAACAAGGCTTCCACTTTTTGCTCCCAACCAAAAAAATTTACCTTAGTGGCAATCTATTTTTTTTTCTCTCTCTTTTGGGAAGGGAAAAAAGGGCCCGGGAACTTTTTTAAAAAAAAAAATATATAAAACATGATATAATATAAAATATATAATAAAATATATATATAAAATATATAAAATATATTATAAAAAATAAAATATAATAAAAATACAAAATAAAAGAAAAAAATTTGGGTCAAAGTGGGGTCTGAAGGGGGCCGGGATTTGGGGCAAATGAAAGAAAGAGATGATTTTTGGATGTTATAAAATGAGAAAAACGGGAAGTCCGGCTTTAAAGGGGAAAAAAAGCTGAAGGGGGTGGGAGAGTTTCAATGGAGAGAATAAATGGGTTAGGTCGGGGGTTTTCAAAAAGGGGTTAGAGCTAAAAAGGATTAGCAATAATTTTAAGGGAAAAGCAATGGCGGGAAAAAAAGAGGGACTACAAATGTATAAATTAAAGGGATTATGGGGGAGTAAAATAAAAAATTGGATGTAAAAAGGGTGGGTTATAGAAAAGCGTGTATGAAACCTGGGAGAAGAGAAAAGTGTAAAAGGGGAAAAGAAAAAGAGATTCTGGAAATGTTGAGTGAAATGCGTGGGGATTTTTAAAATCAAGGTAGAGTAATGGGGGTTGGGGGATTTCACTCTAAATGGGTAAAAATGTTATGGAGGGAGAGTAGGAAATTTTTGGGGTGCCGGGGTTTAAAATGTAAATGGGAGCCTTTAATTGAGCAAATTGTAAAAAAAAATTTGGTAATAAGTAAAATACATATTTTAGAAAAAGGGAAAAATAAATATACAATATGAGGGTACACTTTAATGAAAGAGTTTGTTAATTAGTTTTGGGTTTGGAAAAAAATTTTTATGGGAAAGGCCCTCCGGGAAGTACATGTTTATAGGGGGGCAACTGATATATGGGAAACATTATTGTTTAGCTACAGTTAAAAGTAAGAGGTAGATGGGAAAAGAGGAAGGGGGGCAAAAAAAAGTAAGAGGGGGGTGAAAGGGGATAAACTAAGGAGGAGGAAGTTGGCGGTTTAAAAGCGACAAATTGGGCCCAGAAAGGGGGGCTAGTGCAAAGATAGTAGGGGGGGGTTTTAAAGGGGGTTGGGAATATTTTTAAAAAAATGCAGTATTAGAATGGGGGGGGCAGAAGTTTGGGGTTTTATGGAGGGGGGGGCAGGAGGAAAAGAGGATTTAAGGTGGAATGATAAAGAAAAAAGGGTGTGATAAAAAGAAAAAGGTACTTACGAAAAGGTTTTTACAAAGCAGAAGTGTTAAAAGAAGGGGCCAGATATTGGAGATAAAAAAAAAGGGATGAAGAGAGTGGGAGAGAGTGCAAAAGGAGAGCAGATGAAAAGTGGGAGAGGCACTGTCAAAGAAATTTTAAGGGAAAATAAAAAAAAAATTTTTTGGAGTGATTTAAAACAATTTAAAGAAAGCCTAGGGAAAGAAAGGAATTTGTCATTTAAAAAAAACAGAGGGGGGGAAAGTTAGTAGAGGGGGAGAGGGGGGTTTTAAGGTAAAATGGCTAGAATATTTTGGGGAAAATTTTTAAAAATTTTTTAAGGAAGAAAGGGGGGGCCGGAAAATTTCATGAAAAGGCCCAAAGGGAGGTTACCATCTTTTAGGAGTGAAGAAGGGGCAAAATGTAAGTGGGGTGGGGGTACTGAGGCATTCGTGGGAATTTTAAAAAGGGGGTAAACAGCTGGAACTGTTTGGGATCATGACAGAAATGTTAAAACCCAGGGGGGGGATATATTTTGGGAGGGGTTTTGGAAAATTTTGTTTTAATTTAAAATGTATGAAAGAGGGGAAGGTACCAAAAGGGGGATTGGCGGAAGCATTTTATAGTCCCTTTAAAAAAAGGGGAAAAGGGGACAAAAGAAAAAATTGAAAAAATTTATAGAGGAAAAAAAGTTTACTGAGAAAACCCGGAAAAGTTTTTAGGGTAGGGTTTAATTTGGAAAAAATTTAAAGGTAAGACAGAATGTAAAAATTCGGACACAAGGAGGTTTCAGAGGGGGTAGGGGATGTGTAGATAAAGGTTTTTTACATTGAAGCATATTTTTTAAACATTTTTTAAAGATAAAG